TATATATATATAGCACCATTTCAACTGCAACTTTTTACAAAATTTGAGTCGTGACATCCATGGTCCTCGGTTGGGAAAATGCCCCTGTATTGCTGCTCATTGGACAATACGTTTCATCCCATTGTCGTGTGGGGCTTCTATGTCACAGTTGGAATGGTTTTCCGTATTTCATAGATGGTGCAAATTGCAGACAGATGCCAAATGAGGCAGAAAAACTAACAACCAAACAGTTGTCTTTCTCGATTCAATGAAACATATCTCAGTGTAAATTCAAGGCATGTTTTGAGAAACTGATGTAAATATCTGCACTCCAATGGCGAACGACTTCAGTCTCACGTATCGTTCTCTCGTTGGGCTGAGATTCAGTATAAGGTCGGTGGCAAAAAGGGGAAAAACACAAGTGTATGGCCACTAACATTGGATGGAGTCTTCTGGTGCCTTATGATGAGAACATCAGGAAAACGACGAAAGTTCATGAGAGCTTTTCACAAATAAAATGAAGCAGAAAATGGAAAGCTCAAGTGATAAAATTGTGAGCTCCCGATACTCCACTTGAACCCTTTGTAAATCACTTCGCTATTCCAACGAGTGTCTGTGTGCTGGTTCGCGTTCCGGTATAGTCCATAATTCAATACTATTCATAAAGTCGATGAAGGCCACAAGAAAGCTTCATCTTCCATCATCTACAAATTAATTTCCAAATGGCTCACTTATTCCGTTTTGGAGCGTTTTCGAGCCTTCGTACGCGACCGAACAGCCTGTCCAACACAGGATCGAGTGCATTCAGATAGGGAGTGAAAGCTGATTAGCCTGGTACATTCACATGCGGTCGAAAATAAGTCAAGCATGAAAGTTGTGGACTGCTGTAGTTTCCATTCCGTAATATAGCTTTCTGCTGTCTTCTGAACATCGATGGTGTCTTGGCACGTGTACTATTCATATGACTCTGGTTACTCCACAGGCAGTTAGTTATACGATAAACCGATTTTTTGCAGAAGGGTGGTGTCGTTTGCAAAGTTTTTCAGCGTCTTGACCATCGACAAGGAGTGTCTTTTCGTCTCTAACGAGTGAACAGCTCCGTAGGTGATTCCGTGTGACAGAGGATTCTAGCCCCATACAGACCCCTCTTTGTTCTTCGTAACTTGCAGCACTCTGGCGCTCTTAATGGAGTCTGGTTGCAGTATCTTTCGCATAGGCATTGCTCTCTTAGATCGAATGTAGGAGCAGTGAAAATCGGTAGCAATGAATGGTATCCTACGATCAGTTTGGCATGTGAAGAAACTAGGATACTCGAGTGTTGCTCACGGGTGTTTGTCAAGGATGGGGCGCACAGTGGTGTATCTCAAGCCAGGTGTCCATCCCACAAAAAACAGGACTGCATCTTCAACAAAAGACTGCGTATCCGAACAGAGAAGTTTAACCTACCACACTGCCTGCTTGAGCAACAATTTCGACGTACTACGTGCTGGTTCTTCAGGTGTGTACTGCATTCCACACAATAAGTTTATACTGTTGACTAGAGTGGGAATCTGAGGAGATCCAGTTTACTGTTTACTGGTCGACCTGGTAAGGATGAAGGTTGACTTCACAACTCCCGTGCACTGAAATTTACCAAAGGATTCTTATGCAGTTCACGAAGAACCGAACAGCAACTAGTTTGATATGGAATTCCGCTTCGTCGCTGTGACCAAGACTCGTAAAAGTAATCGAGCAGCATCAACCTCGTTACCGGCAAAACATCACAGCTCTGTGGGTGCCAAGTCAATTACTCCATCCATCTTAAGGTTACGTTTCTGTCTAATCCACGTAAAACCTCATAGAGAGTGGAATAAAAAGCTGCTGTAACTGTGTAAGCTTCTACTTTATTTTCCGGCTGAACTATTAATTAAGCAATACACCACCTTATATAATTGCTGATAATGAGAGAGTAATGTACCGACAATAATGGTAGCTTTCTCGAATTCGGGAAGTTTCGGAATCCTTTTCTCACAGTCTGATGAAGGACTGTCCTTCAACCGGCCTTTTGCAAAGGTCATGGCCTTGGTCTCGTAGCTAGTTGCATTTCAAATGGAGAAATGTAGGAGTAGAATTGAAATATTACAGAAAGCCTGGCTTTTCTCAATAAGCTTCACAGCAGTTGAATAGGAATGAATGACTTAATTACTTGTATAGACGTAATGCACTACTCATAAGGTTGCTGAAAACTCTTCGACAAACCACCACCGGTTTCGCCCCTCTTAGGGCACAGTCCCCGAGTTTCCGTCACCTCATGTTCTACTTGAAACCAAATTGCACGAACTTAACGAAATACACCCATTTGCAAATCACTTTGGCTTTGCGAGAGACTCACCTGGAACCCAGCTGAATCTCTCGTTTGTGACGTTAACAGGCAACTGAATGTGCTGCACCAAGCTGCCATGATATCCGAGATATCGTGATGCATGTATATTCGTAATGCACTACTCGTAGGGTTACTGAAAAAGGTTGCTGAAAATTCTTCGACAGCCCATGACCGATTTCGCCCTTTTTGTTTGTTTGTTCATGTATGGCTGTGGTGAGGCTTAAATGAGCAGAACTCAGTGGAAGTTGACATCACATATGTGGGAAAATGCCCCGAAACATGTTCTACTCTAATCGACAGGTCCACTTGTTGCAGTATCGCGATCCACCCTCACTGATAACAACGCTCTCAGTTCACAACGGTTAGAGGACTTGGACCGACTCCTGTTCAGTAGCTGTCACTATGACTTGTAACTATTTTGAAACTGGTGACCAAGGTTACAATACCCTTGATTTTCGGGGTTCCAAATGCCTGGTACGTATGTGACTGTAAGTTATGTCACAGAGTTGCAAATTGAAACTGTAAGTCCCGTCAAAAGTGCACCTGTTTGGATTAGAGAGAAAGCGCGTTCTAGTGTTTTACAGCTTTATTTTCAGTAATCTACCTATCGGGACCTCGTAACTTCATTTTTGTTGATAAGACTAGTAATTTTTACGCGACAGCCTGTGCAAACATATGGTTTTATGATATTTAGCATTTGCCTTCATTTTCGGTTGATCAGGTAAACTGAAGATTGTTTCCAGAACGTTAAACGGTGATACGCAACATTTTACAAATTGTTCCAATAAATACCGGCGTAATCCAAAATCCACTGCCTGTCTTATTTTTAAGTCGTGTCGAATGTAGTTCGTCCTTTACAGTTAAAGTACGGGTGTAAGTGGTCGTATCAGTCTAGGTATTTCATATATCTGTTTTCGTCATAATTCAGACGTTTTATATTTGTCTGGTTTGTCGAATGCCGTTACACGTCTGTGCTGTCCTGAAATGCAGCCAGAGGTTCGACAAGACGGAAGTTGACGTCGGTCGTTTGCATAGGATTAAATGGGGACTGATCACACCGACTAAGGATCGTAAACGCCTACGGCTATTTTTATCGTAACTGTAAAAACAAGGAACTCGCCAAATTCCACACATATGTTTTGGTTTCATTTATGAAAGAACTTTCGATGAATTTCTGCACCCAGTATGTATGTGTGAAATCCTAAAATAAATCTGCCCGAAATCGAGGTTTGAGTGGGACGGTGCATTACCGCTCGAAAAGTGAGTTGAGTCAAATGCTCGAGAACCGCTGGATAGCGTTGGACCATCTTGTCTAGTGGCCAATCAGACTGAGGAATGTTTATACGGTGGGCGTTTGGAAATTATATTAAGTGGTTTTAGCTCCCCAGAAGTCTTAGGGAAGTGGTGCCGTTCGCAAACCACCGATTAACCATAGAATGTACTAGCTCACTGCTCAAGATATGTTTCATTATGCCAACAGAATGAAGGAGATCGCCAAACATCTTTATTTTGCCAAACATCCGTACTGCTGAACTTTGTGTTTTTAAACGCGGAATCCCTTGACAACAGCTGTGGGCAACAAAATATGCCGGTTAATGCACTTGCCCCCACTGATGACATCCAATGGGACTGTTTATTTGTGCTCACTTATTTGCGGCTTTTGGTGGCTAGTTGTGCTATCCAACTTGGTATCCGGTAAACGGAATCAGATCACTCCTATAAACGGATACTGCGAAAAGTGAAATATACTTATCAAGGTCAGACGTAAAATTTACAGGCGACGTCGAAGTTGGAGTTCCTACGTACATTAGGGTTAACTCACTCTCCAGGACCATAGTGAGTGTGTTTAGTTTTGATTTTGAGAGTTGGTCACGTAAGTTAAAGGGACGTCGTACAAGGCACTGAGGTAGCCCAAATGGTGCGTGTGAACTGACACGTCACATACTACTCCTAGGGTTGCTTACGGTTCTTCCTAGTGGGGGCTTATTAGCTTAGTGTATTCCCCAAGTTTCCAATAACCTTATGTTCGACTCAAACAACAAACAGTAGACGATTTACTTGCCAATTCATTCGGTGTTAACGAGAGACTCAATTGAATCTCTCTCTCTCTTTCACCAAATGCGGTGAACGAAGGCCACCTCATGCCTCGAAAATGATAGTGGGGTGTCAAAAGGTTTTCCTTAACCTTATAGGCAATGAAATACACTTCCATGTCTCAAACATAGTGCCAATTGAAGCAGAAGGCGATCGTTATGAAGCAGTTAGAACTTAGATGGAGGGTCTCGCTAAGAATAGTCGAAATGCATCGATTTGTCAACCACTTCGGTGTTAACGGGAAACTAGACTGATTATCTCGTTTCTGATGTCCTTCACGCGAATATGCTTCATAAAGACCGTCTCCTGTTTCAACTGGCACTATACGAAACAGTAAAGTATATTTCATTAAAATGTATCATTACCTACAAGATTGGTGGAAACCTTTTGAGAGCCCACTAACACTTTCGAGTCGTGAGGTGGCCTTCGTGCACCGCATTTTGTGCGAGAGAGATTCACTTGAGTCTCTCGTTAAAACCGGAATAATTGGCAAATAAGTTGCTTACTGTTTGTTGTTTGAGTCGAACATGAGGTTCAGGGACACCCGGGGAATAACCTGGTCAACAAGTCCCACGAAAAAGAGTTTTAAGCAATCTTATGAGTAGTTGTAGGCTACAGTAAGGATGTCTTATAAAGTGGCGGGAAAATATTAACGAACCACTATTGGCTATGCAGTCAAACGAATGTTAGAAGCGGCTTTATATGACTGTGCATTATGGTCGAGCACTCGGCTCATCTTCATCAAGCCGGTAGCTGTCTTTGAATGTACTGTCCATATGGAGTTACGTAACTACGTCAGACAGGAGAACACAACCTCGTACCTGGTTGCAACAGGTCAACAACGCTCGAAAGGGTAGGTAAACTTGGACGGTCGATAAACCTAAATGTCTCACAATGTCGTCCGGCTGTCCAGTTCAGACTTGAAAACGAGACAATCATTGTGGAGCCCAGACCGCGAAACATAAAGGGACCGAATAGTACGATCCTCCGTAACTTCCGTCACCATAAACTTGGCCACATAGTTTGTTCAAAACGATGATCCACGGCTGTTTCTCGCGTTGTTTGAATTGCATGGACGAATTAACACCTGTTATCTGGGCTCACCCTAGATTGACACCGTAAACCGTTAGCGCAAATAAGCGGCACCGAAACCTCCTCACTATGACCAGTGATAGGATGAAATCCAAACTGTTGAGTACGGTGATCGATGGCTGATAATAACGAGGGTGAAAATCAATACGCTCCACGTTCCTGCGATACGACTTTAGGTCAACCATTATGTGGAATCATTTATCCGTTGCATCAACTTCATTGTGCTTTGAAAGAGTTACAGACAGAGTCTAAACAGGCTGTGACGTAGGGTAGTCCTTGTGTTTTTTTCATGAAGGGGATAGAAGTCTCGTTCAGAAAGCAACCTTCGGCTTCTTTTCATCCCGCGCACCAACAGCTCACGAGACTTAAACTGTTTCACAGCCCTACACCTGGTGCAGAAGCGTCCCATCCGAATGACCCTCACTGTGTTTCCAAACGCCAGGCGGTTCCCATATGGAAGGACTAGTTCGCTTGCTATTTATTTCATAATGGTGTAGCGGGTAGCCCCTGATTAGGGAGATCGGCTTGCTGTTCCCTATGCAGAGCGGTCCATTTGGTTGGCTCACTACAAGCATTAAAATAATTTCCAATAGGGTGTCCGAAAAGAATTCCACTTCACTGGTGTTTGTTTTGGCATCCTTCTTAAATTTACCAGTTACGTTAGTCAACTGGATAGGTTAAAGATTGAGTCTGCAAGTGCGATAATCTATTGCTTCTTTTGTGAATCGCTGCTCTATCCAGTTCTTCCTGGGGAGGGGCTAGGATACAATAGCCCAAGTTAGAAGAGTGAATATAAACGGTAACGAAGCTAAATTTTGTTGAATAACTATCTGGGGTGATCGAAAATACGGTGAGACAATCAGCTGACTCACAAAGGAGTTTCAGCTCAGGATAGTCTTTGAAATGTGGCCCCATGTGGCAGTAAGACAACCAGGAGAAAGTCGATTCCGTTGCGACTACAAATGTAGGAAGCGAATCCATTTAGTAACTACATCAATTGTTATATACCATCCAGGTCAGCTGTTTACAACCAAATCAAACGGGCAGACACACGTGATATCATCCCGACATAATCGGACTAACATCCAGATATTACACACATTCTTTGGCAGTAGTCTTCACCACTTTGCCACGGAAAATGCAACAAGTAAATTAGGAGACACATGAGGACGTCCATAAAATGGCCGCATACACCTATATCTACTTGAAATACACAGCATCTTCTTCCCTCTACTTCAACCGTTCATAGGCGGGTATCACAAACACCGAGAGAAATTTACGGTAAAAATTGACAACCTTGACCTTATATTGAATGTGAACATGGCGGTATGATATAGGTCACAAAGTGCATACTAACTATGCTCACCACTAGTTTCAGTTCTACTGTGAAAGCTTCTGGGTTGGTAAACAAGCAGTTACATTCTATCACACATTCTTGCACATTGACAAACTATTGGGGAGCACACACACACACACACTGGCGCCATACTTATTATCGGAAATCCTCTTACGCGGACATTCACAGTAAGAAAATCTGAAAGATCTACGCCTCCCTCCGCGATTAGTATTGTTTTTCCACAGAATATTTGCCCCATATTCGTTATCTGTTATAACACAGATCAACGCCGAGCTTTCTCCTCGCTGATGTGGTGGCAGCGATGCGAGATGAAAACACAGTAGACACACAAACAGCCTAGTGTTGCAGTCCAAGTAAGTTGGATTCATTCGCAAACCACTCTTTTATAGGCTTTGACTCAAGGATGAAACAATTTAAGCGGTCCATACTTTCCAGTACTGTCACAGGGACACGATACTCTCCGCAGCTACCTAAAACATGGACTCACAGATAACAGAAATTCAAACAAAACAAACAGTGGACGGCTCCACATCACTGACGCATAGTTTATTCACAAGCC